CCCGCTCTTGCATCTGTATTTTGCAATGTCATGTCTTGCCCGCTGCCAAACTTGCCTCTGCAGCCCCAGAGGCTAGCCCGAGCAGTGCCCAGACTTTCTTCATCGCGCCCCAAGCAGATGATGTTGAATCCAGACTAGCATTCAGTCAGAGTACACCGCATAATTCTCGTTTCGCTTGTGAAGGCTCAACTAAACGAGTGCTGAGAATCGACTCGTTCGAGCTCTCAAGCTCAAACAAGCTCACCGCCGATGCCACTCACGAGAGTTCCACGATGCTGCTACACCAGCTGCGGCCCTCGAGCCGCAGCGACGTGAACTAAAGCGCCTCTGAGTTGCACCTCGCCCACAGGAAATTCGACGCGGTCTGGTTTCAGCCCAATCCGGGCCCAGGCCTCGATAAAAAGCCCGCAGCCGCCGGCGTACTGTTGTCTGGGGGCGTTGTGGGTCCCCTGGGGCCCCGCTCTGATAAAGCGGCGAATATCGCCCTTAGAACGCGAGTGTGATTCATTTAGGAATCTGACTCGCCGGGTCTCGCTAGTTAAACGCGTTTGTTCTGGTAGGTGGGGCCGGTCGTAATGCGGCATCTTGAAGGCCGCACGGGCTTCTTGCAGCGGGGCAACGTGCCCTCAAGGAGCCGTCCCCGGGCCTGCCTGGCGAAACCTTTTTAGTCGCCGACCTTTCAGGTCGCTGCCGATCTGACGAAACCGACCTTTCGAGTCGCCGTTCTTTTAGGTCGTGACGCGACCTTTCAGGAGACGCGGCGCGACCTGGTAGGTCCGAGGGGGCGTCTCGCCCGACACCAGACAGGACCTGAAAGGTCCCGAGAGCCTCTAGCTGGACGCCGCCGACGTCTAGGTAGGCACCTGACAGGTGACCTGAAAGGTCGCGATCTGACGTCAGAAAATCGTCGAACCCGACCGGTGACCTAGTTCTAAAAGGTCGCACCTTTTAGGTCGCACCTAAAAGGTCGACTCGGTCTCGCTAGTTAGACCTGGCGAGACGAACGATTGCCAGCTCGCCAGCACGGCGGCCCGTCGACGCGAACGAGATTCGCAGGTCC